GACAATTGTTGTTATAATTCAAGTAATAAGTTGATTACTCGAAACATTATACAATGAATAATGTGTAATTAATATGGTGACTAAATAAAAGGAGTTTTATTTATACTCAAAAGTTTGGGGCCATATTGGATTCGATTATTATTGTGTTTCAGTTTGCATGTTTTGACTTCCAGGATAACTGGGTTATTCGAACCTCCACAGTCGGTCATACTTTTGGAAGTAAGTAGTGAATTAAGACTGTCATGAATTGGATTGCAGATTGTCTAAGGATAGACATGGCAATAGAATTGCTGCAATGTTCATGAATACTCATAAATTGAGATTTGAGTATTGCATAAACCCTCGCTCAGAGTATCACTTCATGGAATTCATCACGAGTAATACTGAGACGATAATATCTTATAATCTTGAAACGAAGAAATATGAGTTGTAATTTACAAAGTCGGTTATACATTGGTGATACGAAAACGCATCAGTAACTTGGTGTTATAAAACGTATTGTCATGTATAATTTGCTGAGTAAAAGATACAAGCATATGAGTCAACGTTTATTCGTTCCTTTTGCCCTAACCGGAAAAGCGATATCTGTTAGCCCCTCGATGATTTGGTGTTGACTTATGTGCTGGGCCCAGCCAGGACTAAATTGATGTGTTCAATTAGAAGTCCTACATCATCACAAATCAGAAATCGGGAAACATAGATTCTGGACAAAGAGATTGATTACATTCCATGTCTTATGTCTGGGGATATCTTGCAGAACGAAGGATTATATGATCACTTATCTAAGGACACGTAACTGACTGGGTCAGAGTTCAGCAGCAGCTTTTGGAAGCTACAATTTGCTGGTCAAATTTAGAAGGCATACTAGCAATTATAGTTACAGACTTATCCAAGTGGGAGACTGTTGGATTAGGTGTCTAAGCCCATAACTATAATTGGTATGTACTTGAATTGATAGCAGCACAATCCTTTTGGGTTGCCCTCAAACCTAGCAACTGGACAAGGAAATTATGAAAAGAGAGATATTAATTTATAAGATTAATAAATTAATATAAATGATTTATTAATATGTTAAAAGATTAATATATTAATTAGAAATCATTATGTTTAATTAATAGTTAGCCAGAAATTAATCAGAATTAATTTTGGGGTTAAAAGTATTAATTATAAAGTGCAGGGACTAGTTTGCAATTATCAGATAGTTGAGTGGAAGGCTCCAGAACCTCCTTGGAAGGAGGTGGACGAAATCTATAGGGGAAACCCTAAGGATTTCGTCCAAGGGGGCTTGGATAAGGCCTTGGATTAACTTAGGGCCCAAGCAAAGGAGTATTAGGGTTTTCCCTAAACCCTAGATCCCCCAGCTATATAAGGAGCCTCCTGACTCCCAAAATTGGCCACTCTGACTTTGGGGAAACCCTAGGGCCGAAATTATATACCCTACTCTCTCTCTCTCTCTCTCTCCTTCTAGTTTCCTTCTTGCTAGTTCTTGGGTGTGATTCCATTAGAGGCATTACATTTGTGGTGCTAAGCTTCCAAGAAGATCAAGATCAAGATCAAGAGGATTGTCAATTGTTTGCTATAACAATTGAAAGGTGTGTAACTCTTAAACCCTAGTTAGTTATTTTCGAAAATAGCCTCTCTCCTCTAGGGTTCTTGTTTTGCAATTAAAAGTTATATGTTCAATAGTTAAAACATAGATGCAAAGTAGGTTGCATGTGAACTTAGGAATTGTTTTTCTAGTTTATTTGTTTTACCTAAAACCCATCAATATATTGCTCCCACTAACATTAGAGTTCTCTAGGAACTCACCATGGCGAGTTTCAACTATGCGAGTGAAATGGGAAGGGCAATAGAATCTAAATCCCTTCGAATGTTCAGGATACCTTTCATGTCAAGCTTTCTTTGGTGAGGATTATAGAGTTTAGCTTTGGCTGGGTAACCCCATACTTTCAGATATCTCAAACCCAGTTTCCTTCCTATCCAGATTTCATAAGGTGTCTTAGGAACAGACTTAGAAGGAACCCTATTGAGTATATGGACTATCATATTTAATGCCTTAGTCCATAAGAATGAAGGTAAGTTGGTATTTGCTAACATACTTCTTACCATGTCCATAAGGATCCTATTTCTTCTCTCAGCAACACCTTTTTGCTAAGGAGTACCCGTCATGGTAAATTGGTTTATGATCTCGTGTACCTTGAAAAAATCAAAGAAATGATCAGGAGCTTGACCAATATCAATATGCCTACCATAATATTCACTCCCTCTATCTGATCTCACTACCTTTATATTACGGTCGAGTTGATTTTCAAACTCGCCCTTAAATGCTTTAAACATTTCAAGTGATTCAGAATTTTCATTAATCAAATACAAATACATATATCGTGAATGGTCATCTATAAAAGTGATAAATGACTTATGTTCAGATATTCCTGCGGGAAAAGGCCCACAAATGTCAGTGTGTATGAGTTCTAGTAAATTAGAACTTCTTGTGGCACCTCTTTTATTTCCCTTTGCCATTTTCCCTTAAGGCACTTAACACATGTCTCAAAATCATTGGAATCGAGAGTTGTCAATACACCATTTTACAACAGTCTTAACATTCGATCTCGTGAGATGTGGCCTAAGCGTTGATGCCACAACATAGATGAGGTTTCCAAGTCTCGTTTCCTTTCATGCAAGTTTTCATTTACATTATATGATAACAATGATTTTGAGAATTGGTCATCCAGGTTCAGTTTTATCTATTTAACCTCCAAACAATTAACCTTTGCCAAAAAATATCAAAATCTCATACATAATTACAAAAACGTCATATCATCTCCCAAGATATTGACGATAAATAAAATCAAATCTACATCTTTTATTTTTTCAATCTCACGGCAAAGATTTGTCATCGTAGTCCTTATTCATTTTTGAGTCCTCACTCGATCCAACTTTTATATATATATATATATATATATATATATATATATATATATATATATATATATATATATATATATATATATATATATATATATATATATATATATATATATATATATATATATATATATATACTTCCTAAGTAACATATATTTAACTTGGGATATCTATTATGTCATAATGACATAGTTGCTATCATAAAATGTAAATACAACACTTAAATAATTATTACATAAAAAATGGTTCTAAGACCACATATTAATAAAAAAATATTCCAACATGAACAACCTAATTAGGTCTAGAATTTTGAAACCAGGCCAAATTCCAATTAAATTGGGTCCAACTCGTTTTGGGTTTAAGGCCCAGCAACCATTGAGGCGATGAGGGTTTGCTCATAACTTAATATAAACAAAATTTCTTAATAATTTGGTTAAAGGTGTTGCTAAATGATCCCAAATAGGTTTTATGTGTGTGGCCTATCTCATGTGAGTGTGGGTATGATTCATTTAAGATAATAATTTATTAATACAACTTTTCAAAATAATTTTAATTATATATATTATAAATTACCGAAGATATTTTCTAGTAGGTACATGTTAAAAAACCTTAAGTAGTTTATAGCTAGATAGATGAGAGCAAGTTTTTAAAAATATATGTTTATAAATTATTGACAATAATATACTAGAAAGAATAGGCAATTCACATGTTTAAACTACAAATTTGCTAACTAAAAATAACATTAAAGAAATAAACCTCCTATGAACAGTAAATATCCCAATGATATTGTATAAACCGATCCAAACATTTTTGACAATAGCTAATAAACATTTTTTTAAAGCTGTTTGAAACATGCAATCCCAAACACCCCTAACTAGCATTCAAGAATCAGTTTGTCTAAGCTTTAGAAATCCGTTTTTCGAGAATAGGCTTCTTTTGACAGCATATGGTCTTTTGGAATCGATCCTTATTAATTTTAGCTGTCGAATTTTCCTTCCAACACCAGTAATTGAACTTTTGAGATATTGAAAATCCTTTTGTGTTCTTGATTTGAGTTGTAATCCTAACTTTTTAACCTAAATCAGAAGAATTTATAAAGTCTCTATCTACCTTTCATAATATAAACCGAAAAAAAAGTCGTAACTCATACCTATTGATCTCAACTGAAAACTTGAAAACAACCTCACGAACTATCAATAACTATACACAAAGGATCACAATCAACATAAATATGAGATGATTTATAATTTTGAAAACTACAATCTTATTGTAAATCAAAATACACTTCAGATTGACCATGACAAGTCAAAGCAATAATCTTAAATCAAAATTCAAAATGCAAAATATTACGATTAAAAAGACATTTCTAAGCAAGATCTTTTTCAAAAGACAACTTATGTGGAGGTTTTCAGGGTTGTGCTTCAAATGATGAATGCAACAATTTATCATCAAAAAAATTTAGTTAAAAATAATTCTTGATAATGGTAAGCACCTTTGCGTTCTTCCAATGTCTGCATAATTAAGATAAAGACAAGATTATATCCTCCATGATAAAAGATCAACCGTTTCCAAATTGTACAAGTATTATAATATAATGCACATACATACATACATACATATAGGGCTCAATTCAAGAAAAAAGCATTATACTTTCATATATTTGTGTATTATAGCATCCTACTTGCTTTTCATTCGATTACATCAGTGTAATGTTTTCTTAAATTTCATTAAGGCACTGTATTTTCGAAAACTATTCAATTACAGAATTGCACTTTCGATTTTCTTTTCTATTAGAACATTGTACCTTAAAACATATATCAATTTCAACACTAAAATCATAGTACGATGATCATTAGGAAACAGAGAAGAATTATGTGCACCCATACGTAACAACAAATAAATGATGTGTGAAAGATAACTTATGGTTAGTTGTACCTCAACTTGAATAAATTTGCTGAGATGGAAATGTTTTAATATATTTTATCTTATATATGCTATTCAGCATATCTTGTAAATATTTACGCTTCATTAGGGTTAGCTTCTCTATACATTCTAATCAGCCAAAATCCACATGTAACTTCTCAAGAATTCTAGTCAATGAGGGTCGATCTACTTTACAAAAACATATAAACAGAAACTTTGGCATGTATTTACAGGTGAAATGGACATCTTTCTAGCGACTCCACAATCAGATGCAACTTAGATAAAAGACCAACCTCAAGTGATTCATCCACACTACAACAAGTACAATCCTTCATGTTAAACAAAAAAGATTTAAACCTCAAACAACCATTTAAGCCTACGTAGACAAGCTTTTTTAGACATCCAATGGGGGTGTGAAGGTCTACCAATTTACAACAATAACTTAGATCTAACCCCTTGAGATTTGGAGTCAACCTAAGGTCAAGGGTCCTCAACTTTGAATGACTAATGTCGAGGTTTGTGAGCTTTTGACATTGATCAGCCATGTGAAGTTCTTCCCAATAATAACTATTTTTAAGATCCAAATACTTGAGATTAGGAGTCAGCCCAATGTCAAGGGTCCTCAACTTTGATTTAGAGAGTAGTAGGTATCCAAGATTTAGACATCTATGGGGCATGTGGAGTTCTTCCAAATCATTGCATTCAACAAGAATCAACTTTTCAAGATTTGGAGCCAAACGAAGGTCAAGGGTCCTCAACCTTGCATTTCTGAGGTCGATAGATACGAGCTTTAAACATCCAAAGGGCATATGAAGTTCTACCAAATTGGAACATTCTCCAAGATTCAACTTCTCGAGATTTGGAGTAAGCCCAAGGTCAAGGGTACTCAACATTGAACGATTAAGGTCAAGGAATCTGAGCTTGTTAAGAACCTACATAAGGGGGCAAAAAAGATGAATAGTGATGTAAAAGCAAAACAATGGAATGATGGATGTACAACATAGTAATGAATCATGCAAAACAATCAAACAACCATAATTCTACCTTTTTTTCTCCCCCTTCCCAAAGTTGTTCGATTTTGCTGTCATCCATCTCAATTGCAACAAGATTATTTGCTTGAAAGGTTTTGGGCAAAGACTTGTAAGGGTAATAGTTCAAACGCAGATATCGTAAAGCATCTGGAAAGTCTGGGCTAACAATATTAAATTCCAAATTACGGAAACAATCTCCAAGAACCACAGAAAGAAGTCTAAGTTCCTTCATCTTTCCAAGACCTTTTATAACAGTATGTGGATTGAGTTTCTCGGTGTAAAATTGTAGACATCTTGTTGCTTTAGTACCCTGAAATCCAAATGAAGTCACCATGAAACTTGTGTCAGTTGAACTTGTGTTAGCTTTTCGCAACTTACAATTAAACTTGATCCTTACCAATTCATTAGCCAATATATCTTCATCTTTTTCGTAGATCCGATGAGCTCATCACTGATCTTTTTTCCTTTTTTGATTTTTCCGTTGTCTTTATAAGTGTGAATGCTTTTCTGCTGAAGAGCATGATACAGATGATCTACGAAGTTTGTACGAGTGTCTTCACCTCTGAAACTCAAAACACATCATACTTAAAGCTCTTGTGAATTGATGAAGTTGGAGAAGACGCCATTGAAGGTATACCTGAAGGATCCTCTAAAAATTCAATTTTTTGCTGGTGAAATTTTATGCAAAATGATTGCAAACAAACTTGAATGAAATGAATTGCCACAAGGGAATGGATATAGCAAGGATAAGGTGAACATGATGTGTAAATGGGTTTGATTAGGCTTGAACAGAACAAAACAAGATGTGAAAATTACGAGATTGCCCTTATTCAAATTTTCCAATTATCAAAGTTTTCCACACAGCTTGTTTATAAAATCCATAATTTCAAATAAGTTGCAAGACTGAAAACAGAGTTGTTAACCCAAATTGTCTAAATATCCATAATTTAATTAAATTTCTATCAAATTATTTAACAGATAAAACATTCTTAATCTCAATACTAATATCCTCTACACAAGAACAACTCCTGCTGTTTGCTTATAGTTTGCAGGTCAAAAGATCAACACTAGCACAAGAATCAACAATTTGTTTTTATAGCTTGATGACAACATGATGGAAGCAAAATTCTTCATTTAAACAATTTTAAAGCCTTCAAATTTCTTCTAGCGGACTACAATCAGTCAGCACATCAGACCGAAGTTGCTCTGATCGGATAAAGAAGAAGAGTTCGACATCTACGACACGATAGTTGGCTTTGAGATATTTCAAAATCAAACCCGACTCTTTTCAATTACAAAATCAGTAAATTGATAACAGAGCTGATATATAGATTGATCTACAAGTAAGTTCCACGACTGAAAATATTTGATCTATAATATTAAAAAAAATATATATATTAGTTTTGAATTTGAAAAGTACGGAGACTGACGAATTTTCAAAATCACCTAGACATACTTTATTGCTGCAAATTATGCCGCTTCAATGAAAAAAGGTAAAAATATCTAGATTAGGGCTCTTATACATAAGATTTTCTTTAACTGGTCAACTCTATACATCAAGAACAATGGCTTTTTTTGTGCAAGATTAAAACTTTTTAATGTTTGAATATCGTCTACAGAAATCAAGAAGACTAAAGTAATTAAGATAAAGATTAAGCTATTGTACCGGTAGCAGGGGGTGTAACTGGTAGTTGAGGAGAAGAGAGGAGAATAGGCGATGTTCACTGGGCCAAGATCCCACTCGAGCGAAAACTTCTACAGCCGGTTGACCAAAAAAGAGAGAAGAGAATCGTCGATTTAGATTGAGAGAGTAGAGACGATAGAGAAGAGATGACCCTGTGGCGTCTGGACGAAAGTCAGAGAAAGGATGGGTGTCTGCTGAAAATGAGAGCGATTACCAAGGAACAAACTTTTTAGACTAAATTACAGAAATGGTCCTGTGGGCACGATTTCAATAGTTTTGTGGTGGTTAGATTCTATAGTTTTAGTCCTATTTTTTTTATTTTGTCAATATTGATCCTTACTGCATGTTTTTATTACTCATTTTGTCCCTATCTGTTTTATTACTCATTTCGTCCCTATCTCTATTACGTTGTGTCGACCACCTTCATATACCTCTCATAGGAGGGGAATTCTAGTCATTTTCCTGCTTTCCAAACCAATAACCACCGTTTCTCACTACCACTACCACCATTCAGCTTGTATTTGGAGTAATTTAGGTAAACTCCGTCTCACACCATCCTCATCCTCCTTCACTTTTTTTCTTGAAAACTACCCTAACATTAAACTACGGCAACCTTGTCCCACTTCCAATTTTCTTTCTTGCACAAACCCAAATCATATATGCTAATATAACGGAAGAAAAACATCACCCTAAACATTCAATTCATTCTGTTGTGCATATCTTACTTCCATTTATTTTCTCGATACCAAGTTATACATTGCAAGGAAGTTTCTCAAGGTAACAAGTTACTCTAGGTTACTAGGTTATATGCTCAAAATTAGTGTTCACTAAGTACCAAATTTCTCAAGTTAAATTATGCAAGTGATCAACTAGTAGGGCCACAATCCAAGCAATTATGATGGGATTCTTTCATATAGTTCATCTTTCATCTAGTTCATTATCAACTTGAACATTTAATGAACAACGCATAGAAACTAAAATAACTTACTAGTGAGCATTAGGTTTGTTTTTGATCTCTTGGTTTGTTGCTGATCTTTTGGGAATAAAATCAAGGCAATCATTTTTAGAATCCATGCAATTTGGTCATGTGTAACACCTGTTTTCCAGAATTTATCAGATGAAGACTTGAGGATTTCAAAGATATGGTTTTGGGTAAAAACCTAATGCCACGACGTGGCTATGTCATTAAATGTCCGTGCCTGGCACCACGACGTGGCAAGAGGGTGACCACGACGTGGTGGCTGTTGCAGCCCAAGTCCAAAATTTTAGGGTTTCTACTATATATAAAGGCTCTAACTCATGTGTTAGGTCATTCTCTTTAGCCTTCCTCCTCTAAAATCGAAACCCTAACCCTTACTAGAATGTTCTTGATGTTTGTGTAATGTTCTTGAAGTTTTAAGCCTTTAAATATATTTTGGGAGAATAAGGTGGTGTGCTTGTTGGTTGTAAGGTTGTATTTATTTAAGATCTTGCGTCTCATGCATCTTGTGGACCTTTGGAAGGTATAAAGCTTCCATATTTATCATTATTGTTTCTCATTTCATGATTTGAGGTCCTTTTTATTCCTTTGAAGAGATGTTCTTGGAGTTTTGATGTAACACCCGTTTCCTAGAATGAATCAGTCAATGGTAAAGGAGTCAAAGGCATGGTTTTTTAGGAAAACCATATGTCACGACGTGACATGAAGGATGTCACGACGTGGTATGCCAAATGAAGAACGCGTATTTCGGATGGTCACCACGGCGTGACATGAAAGGTGTGACAACCCGAAATTTCTATCTTGTACAAACCATTCACTTCAATCAAAGTCAGACTTGTTTCTTCTAACTTTTAGCACTGTTTAGAGTCTGTTTGAGCATTCTGAGCTTAGTACACCAAATGAATGAGTGAAAGGAAGTGCCAATTGAAGTTGTAACCTATCAAACAAGCCATAAACCCTCAAATGAGGAGTTTACGGCCAGGAACCATGAGTTTACAGCCGTAAACTCATGGTGGCCGTAAACTCCATGCTATATATATGGCCCTTAGTCATTTTCAATCACTTTTCACATTTCCAAGACTAGAAATCGGATTCTCTCTCAAGGATCATAAGATTTTTGCTTCCAATCTTCAAAAAATGTAAGTAAATCCTTCCATATATGTGTTAATACACCACTTATTCTTGATAACCCTTTGAATTCATCCATGAATTTCATCTTTTGAGTCTAGATCTTCAAGATCCTCAAGAACATCAAGAACACTTAAGTGTTTTGGGCCGAAAACACCCTCATTTGCCTTCAAATCGTAAGTACACTACCCTTAGCTTGTTATATACTTGAATAACTCATTAAACACCTTGAAAACATCAAGAATTCAAGAACAAAAGGGTGTTTATGGCCAAGGCAATCTCCCTTGGCCGTAAACCCTAATAAGTGGTGCAATAGTGCCACTACTCCTTCCTAAGCCTTGGATTTGAGTCTAGAACACTTCAAGGAAGACCATAGGACCTTAACACACAAAACGGTACAAGATACCATGAGTTTACGGCCATAAACTCATTGGGCCGTAAACCCATGGGCCGTAAACTCATGGGGGTTTTACCATTGGGCCGTAAACTCCTATGTGAGGCCCTACACCCCTTATATGCAACCCTATGTGGTTTAACACTTCATAACAAGTGTTTCCTAGTCCCTAAGGTTGTTCCATTTCATGATTAGATGTTATAAACACTAATTAGAAGCATATATGTGTCATTATATGTTAAATAGGATCCGTGTGTGCTCAAGTCTTCACTTGACACTTAGCATCCTATATTGATCTTTCATTCGCTTCACTCACTACAGGTGAGTTCATACCCCTTAATCAACCTTTTAAATGATTTTAAATGCTTTTATGGGGGGGGATACAAGTTGAAACATTATAGTTATTATATCAATCACATGTGATTAATAACTATCAAACAAATGGATTTACTATACTTTTAACTGTTTTATCAAACAAACTACTTCAAAATGTTTATCAAACTCTTTTACATGTTAAACTCTTTATCAAACTTGTTCTTATATGCCAAACCTTTTCTTGTAACTCTTTGAAACTTACATATTTTCAAAACCATGTCTAATGCATATATAGTTATATAAGTAAGGTTTGAAGGACTTAGGACTGACAACTCACTTTATTTCATGTTCCTTGTTTGGTTGTGGACTTAGAGTACCCGGTTGTTTGTCCGAGTGTCGTTTGATCCTTAGTTATATATTTTGTATATATGTATAGACATAAAAGCTTTTATCTCAGTTCAATACACTCAGTTATACAAACAACTCTACTAGTAAACTATAATAGGTATAGTTTAGGAAGTCACTAATACTATTTCTAGTACAATGAAACATACAAAGAGTCAGTTCATACATGAGTCAATACTTACTATAAAGAGAAACAGATAGAGAATACTATAACGAGAAACAATACATACTATAAAGAGAAACAGATAGAGAATACTATAACGAGAAACAATACTTACTATAAAGAGAAACAGATAGAGAATACTATAACGAGAAACAATACTTACTATAAAGAGAAACAGATAGAGAATACTATAACGAGAAACAATACATACACTACATTATACAAGAGAACATATTACATACTAGACAGAGAGAACATACACTACACTAGTACATACAATACATATACAAGAATACTATAACATAAATGTGAGTCATTACTTCGGGGCATGGCATCACTGCTATGGCTCGTTTTGTAACCAGAGTCTCCTGGAGGGAGAGCGTGAATTTGTGTATAGATCTATACTGGACTGACCGTCCTACACCTTACTGCTAGCTACAGTAGGACCTGCAGGTCTACGGGTGACGAATGTCATACCATTTCGACGTCTTCGAGCGTCGTGTTTTACTAAGTCGATCAAGTATGGTTACAATCATATCACATTATACCTTAATTAACAATTGACTTAAGGTAGTTAGTACAACAGTAGTTACTATAATACAACACTACAGTACTTTATTATTTTCCCATTGCATTCACATTGTGATCTTCTCACATAAACGGTAATGTAAAAACTATATTTTGATAATGATAGTCACACTTAGGAAAAATACACTTTTACAAGAAACAAACATACAAAACATTTGATGCCTTGGTAGAAGGCTACTTTTAGTAGAAAATATAGGATTTTCTAGGAGATACAAACATTTACTACAAACTTTTACAAACTTATACATCAAACACTTACAAACATTTTCATACAAACAATGACACTAAAATGCTTATGAACTCACCAGCTCTAAAGCTGATAAACTCTTTCAAAATAACTTGTATTCTCAGGTAATCAGTAGACAGGTACCGATGCCAGCTTTTGAGAAGATGGAGCACATTCAAGACTCATCTCTTATTTTGATTCATATTTTTGGTGTCTTATAAACTATATAGAACACACTTGTACTAAATTATATTATTAATGCAATGGATGATGTTGTTGCTTGTTTACTATTATGCTTTGTTGTGATATTGTACATGACGTCCTCCGCCCCAGAACGTTTCCGCCGTTCCGGTTTTGGGGTGTGACAGATTGGTATCAGAGAATTGTTTATAGTGAATCGAGTATATCAACCCATAAAAGATATACAAACTATAAACACAACGGGATTAAAATACTCTGACCAAGAGTTTATACTTTTAAATAATAAAATATTTAACCAAGTATACATACCTGCATTCATACTAAAATCAGTGTCACTAGGACAAAACAAAAGTATTACGATTGTTGAACAACACAATTAGGCTTAGAGACATATAGTCAAATCTGGGAGTGATATAGCCTGATCAACTATATTTTTCCGAGGAGTGACTAGCATGTGCCTAAGAATGGTTGTGAGGTTGCAACAAGTCTAAAAACTTACCAACAATACTACAATGATAACATTAGAACAGAACATAAACCTAAAATACTATAGGAGTATTTTGTGTTACTATAATTACTTATGTGAGAACTAAAAAGGTCTTTACTAGTAGGTCAATAGTTGCTAAGTGGATACGCTAAGGTTATATGTGACTAAGGTGTCATAGACTTAGAATCTGTGATCTTTGCTTTACTTCCTGTTCCTTGTTTGGTTGTGGATTTGGAGTTAGGGTTACTTATTCGAAGGTCTATCCTGTTTTGGTTTCATATAACTGGTATGCACTATGCAAGTATTGAAGTAACTGGTAAGGATCATCTTATAATTATCTTAAGTAGTACGTCTATTTTTATAAGATTCTTATACCCCTTTTCTCGCGTAGATATCATGGATGGATTCCATCCTCCTGGCGACCCGTACTTCCCAAATCAAGGCAATGCTGGATGGCTTGAAGAAGAGCCAGAAGATGATCATCCAATCCCTATGGATGATCACCTCGCAGAAGGCTTTTCGGATGGTTCTGACTTCGAACCAGAAGTCAACAACCTACCACAAGAGGCTCCAATCCCAAACCTTAACCCCCGACCAGCATTTCAAGGCCCCATACCCTTGTGGGCGACAAACTTGAACCGATGGAGTCATAAACAGGATCAACCTTTACCCTTCAATGGAGACCGAAGCTTTTACAATTTAAACGAGGGAGGCTCAGCTGACCGAGTCCTTCCCATTATGGTCCGCAGGATTGCTCGAAATGATGAGCAAGGTCGAGCAGCCATAGACCGAGTCATGGAAATTGACGCCAACTCTGGCGTTAACACGGTCCGCATTCGCCATCTCGAAGAGGCTATGAAAGGAACAAGAAGTGCCAATGAGGCTCTGCAGCAACAGCTAGCTGCATCCCGAGCTGAAGTCATAGAACTTCGAGTGCGTCAGAGAGCTCATGAGCGACATCTTCAAGAAGTGGTGCGTCAAATGGCAGATCTGAGGGTTCACCCGAGGAATGCCCGTCGCCGGTAGAAGATGTCTGACTCATCTTTTCTTTTGGTTTAAGGAATAGCCTTTCTTATCTGTGCTCTATGAAGCACTTGTCTGTAAAATATTCCTATCTTCCAAGTACTTTAACTAGACTTCTAAAACTGTCAACATTTTCCCTTATGGTTTGATGT